GAGGCACAGGGGCAGCAGGTTTGCTAAAGGCTAAAGCCTCCAAGGAAGCACGGCACTAAGGAAGAAGGATTGCATGAGGGTTGTGGGATTGGCTGGGACACTGATGACAAGTTCTGATCCAAGTTGCTCATACGCCGTTGGAGACTTGGGGTGGGAAGGTTTGTGCTGCATAGGACTGACTGAGGCTGTTTGGTTGCATTCCTAAGACAACCTCTCCCAGTCCCATCTCAGCGTTTAGGGATCTCAGGTCTCTTCTTGTCAACTTTTACAGGAGTAGCTTCTCAAAAGCGCTTTTGTCTGGAGCGATTGCCCAGACAGCCGGGCAAACCCATGCCAGTCTGTCCCTGTATTTCCTTTCCCAAGAGCAATACTCCACTTTAGACTGGAGAGCCAGGCACTGGCTGCCTGACCCAGGATGCTTGTGGTCTTCTCAGAATAACACCACCCTCAACATGAGCTTGGCAAGTGCCACAGGGAACTCACGGAAGGAAACAATTTGAATCTGTGAGCAAAGACTTCAGTTGCTTTCCCAGCTATATGCGTTGACAGCCATCATCTGTCAAGCAGCTTTGGCGGCATTCAACTGGTGCTGGCAAGTTCAGAGACTGAAGCTGCCTTGGCTGGTTGCACCCACCTCTGCAATCATGGAACACGGCTGGGAGTGAGCCCGGATGGGTGGGAGGTGAGAGCAGCACCTCCGGAGCCACCAGGGCTGTGCTGGCCCAGCAGCGTGGCAAGAGTCGAGACTTGAGTAAGTCCCTTGTGCTTGAAGTCAAACATCCTTCTGGGCTGGGGAAGACCAGTGAGGGCGAGGTGTGACATCGCCAAAGAGCCAAAGAGCAGAGAGAGAATGAGGTGGGATGGGAGAGGCCATTTCCTGGTGGCTCTGGCAGATCCCCATGTGGGGAGGTAGCGCTGGGCACACACCTTGGAGCACTGAGGCTGGCAAAGCAGCGGGGCTGTGGGCAGGCAGTGCTGGCCCTGGGCTCTGCTCACAGCTCCCTGTGCCCTGTGATGCTGTCAGCAAGGTCCTGGGACATGGCCCTGAGCCCACAGACATCGCCTGCGCCACAACCTCCCCTTTGTTTTTCGTGGCGACGCATCCAGAGGCTGTAGCTGCGTTTCCTACACCCACTGGGAGGATGTGGGATTTTCCTGGCTGCGAAATGCAGCAGCAAAGAAGCTCTGCAGACTGGGCCAGTGACTCAGCTGCTGGTGATGTGCAGGGGACAGTACAGACAGGCTCTCCCCTCTCTCTGTGCCCAGTAGCCCAAGCCATGGTGCCCTTGAACACCTTAATCCTTTTGTTTTCCACCCCACTCTTAATTTTGCCACACAAGAGGTGAAGAAATTAATCCCACCAGCAGGAGATACCCCAACTGGTTTGGAGAAACAAACACATGATTTTTATTTTAAAAATACTTCATTCCTTTCATCATAGTCATTTCTGCAGAAACACAGTCAGAAGTTGCTGTGTAGGAGTATGGATTTCTGGTAACAAGGCCACCTACACAGATCCACCGCAGGAAATAGGAAGCCCAAACCTAAAGCCTTCATTGTTTAAGGCCCAGTTTTTGCAGAAGTGCTAAGCTGAGGGCAATGGGAATAGATGATGCTGAGCCCTTAGCAGGAGGTGGTCAGGATTGCACCATTCTCAGCCTTGACTTGGTGAGTCAGAGCATTGCATGGCATTTGATAGGCAGGAGGATTCTGAATCTTTCCACAAAAATCCCCGCGTAATAAATAATATCCTGTTTAATACAACTATTGCATCTTGTTTTGGAACTAGGAAGAATAAAAATACTTGTTTCTTCCCACTCCCCTTCTAAAAGAAGTTTCATTTTTGGGTAAAGCTCCTTTAATTGTGATACATAAGCATTTTCAAATCTTATTTTCTCTTGGATTTGTAATATTGCTATTTTTAAACCTGTAAGCAATAATACATTTGTTTTCTGCAGAAGAATGCTAAGCATTTACTTCACTCACATAGTGGCCCAGTTTATGAGGATTCAACAAAGAAATATTTATGTATTTTGCAGCAGGAACAGAAATAATATTTAAACCTGTCAGCCATTTTGTTGAATACATTATTGGTTCCTAATATTAAGGAGGAAGCTGAAAAATAGCCATGTAAGGGACATGTTTACCAAGCACTAATCTTGACTATAGTAATTTTCTGCTTAGAGAAAATAACTGTAGTTTTAACACCTCTTTTGCCTGTTTTCTGCTCTACATGGACTGTACCTTCACTAACATGGAGTTTTTCATATAGGAAAAAAAAATCCAAACCTTTGTTAAATTTATGTCCTTTCCAAAAGGAGCTATTTGCAGCAATTTTCTTCAACCTCAAAATGACTACAGTGCATGGACTGATTTTAAACAAAACACTCAGAAAATGTGTGGAAACAGTGTTTCTGTGGGGTCCTTTGGTCAGTCATGGCATAAGCTCTTTAAAGAGGAAACAGGCAATACAGACTTAAAACTGAGATGATCTGATACCACTTTTTTAAAAGTTGGTAAAATGTTGTGTTTTTTTTACTGAGATACCTTCTAGTGTTTCTAAATCAGATCTGCAGTGTATGCACTCAGTTTTTCCTTGATGTTTAGAGCTGTCATGGTGCTTCTCCTTTGGAGGTCTGAAAAAAATTTACAGGAAAGCATATATCTCTTTTCTCTATATTGAGGACATTGAGCAGAGGCAGGTGGAGAAGGAACTACACTCAGAAGGCATTTCAGACAATTGTGTGTACGTGTAAATTATACTGGGTTTGTTTGTTTGCACTAAGCTATGATTTTGGGTAGAGAGTGGTTCAAAATGATCCTGGGAATGGTTTAGGTTAAGCTGTTGCATTTGCTTCCTATGGAAACCTTTTTTTTTTGCTTTATTTAATGTTGGGGGGATTCTTTTTATAGTGAAACTTTTGTCACTACTAGAACCAGTTAGAAGCTTTCAAAGGACATAAAGTGGCCTTGAGAGCAAAGGCAAACTCACTGAGACTGCACCAATTTGTTGCAGACTCCGAACCAGGCACAGGTAGTTCCCATGCCACTTCCCACAGCCCTTGCTGGCCCAGTGGGATTTTCACTCCAAGGAAATAAGGATTAGATTTCTGCACCATGATAAACCTACAGTACACAAAGCCTATCCTATTTGTGGCTAAAATGTTAGAGCAAATCCCCCCTCTTTCCAAGTGAAGCTTCCAAACTCAAATTTGTACTTTTTACATGTCAAAAGTATGTGAAACTCTTAAGAATGATGGGACTGCAAGATTTGCACAGGCATATACAGTATGTGTGTGTGTGCACATGCATACAACATGAGGGGAGTAATAAATGTATGTGAAAATCCTAAGGCTGTGGCCAGAATTTTTCACCTTTGCAGCTCAGGTTTGACAGCTTTGCTTTGTTCTTAATTGCTGTGTGAAATCTAATTCAGACAAGCAAAAAAAAAAACCCAACCTACTTGAGCTATTTCAAGTTTAGTAATTAGTGGCAGTAAGGACTCCAAAGAGGTCAAGAGCTATAGCTTTAGGTCCCCACAAGGCTACTGGAGTTATGCCATATCCCAGAGCAGTCTCCTAAAGGTCAGCACACTCACCTTGGGGACAAGGCTCTAATTCTCGAATCCTAGTTCCTCTTGACTTGAAGCAAGGCCATGATTCCAGCTTTCCCACATCCCACAAGCATCCTGCAGCGAGTCTGGCTCTGTCTCCTTGCTGGAAGTAGTTCCATTTGATAGCAGTATTCCCAAAGGGAGAAAATAACTCGACAGAGTGGTCAGAGCACTCGGGGGGGACTGTGTGAAAGGCGAGTTGAGCTCTCTGCTCTCCTGGGAGTGTGCCTCTAATTATTAATACAGAGTGGGAGTTTCAGAAAGTGTGGTTTGGGGGTTTAGCTTTGAACAACCGACTAATAATTACAGCATTTTGCACATGGGTTGTGTGAGAAGCCTTGTTTTCTTTTTTTCTGAGAAAATAATTCTGTGTCCAACCACATATTTCGAGCCCTGCCTGGATAGTGTTTGTGAGTGTATTTTCTATCGTCACTGAAAGCCACAGAGGAGGGAAATAAGCATCAGAGCATCACTCACCTCACACTTTAGTAACTGGATGCCCTCTAGCGAGGCTGCCACTGCTCTCAGATCTGTCAGTCCTTATTTATATGGAGATATGTGACATTTCCATGAGTCAAGTGTGACAATGGTGAGTTCTGGCCCAGAGCATTTTCTGCTGCCCAAGTCTTTCTCAAAATCCACTTATGCTATGCAGGGGTGTTTAAAAGCAGTTGTAGTGTGGCAATATTTGATTTGTTTAACTCAGTGAGGAGGTTTCCATTTTAAATATGTTGTGTGACTTCACAAGGCAGTTTGCAGGATGTGAGTTATTCTTCAAACTGTAAGTGACCAATTTAAATATTTTAATATTAAATGCCTCATCAGTTTATGGAACTATTTGGGCTCTGTTAGTAAGACTCTTGGCATGTGAAAGCACACAAATGTTTGTTCTATTGCTTTACCCCATCCTCTTTTAAATGCCAAGATTGGTGAAAAGAAGCCGTTATTCCTTTGCAATGTTAGAAGTTGATCCTGCTTATTGCTCTGAAAACAAACTCACACCTAATGAAGTGAGAGCACAGCACTCCCTGGCAGTTCCTTGGGTCTTTTTTTCCTAAGGCCAATTGAAGATTTGCCTTTGAGTGGGGCTGACAGGATTGTGGGACTGTACTGTGGGCCTGAGAGATGATAAAGAACTCAGAAGTTGCATGGCGGAAATAAAATTGCCATGCAATTGGCATACTTTGGAATATAACTAGCAAACAATATTTTCCTTCTTGAACTCTTTTGTGTTTTATTAAAAGCCCGGTACCTTTTCATTTAAAAACATATTTCACTGGAAGTAATTTGCAATATTATCTCCTAAGCAGCTCTTGCCCTTAACAATGCTTTGATATTTAGGTGCTTGCCAAATACAAACTGCAGTTCCACTTTCCTTTTTGTGCAGTCTCTGACTCGAATGAACACTCAGACTGAAAACCAGGCTTTGCTGATGTTGCAGAGGGAGGATCTCAGCTGGATGCACACGTTGCAGCCATCCAAGGGGAATCTGCAAATGCCAGGTAAGAACCTGCTCTCCAGGTCAGCATGAAGGGAAAAAGGGATGCAAAGGATGAGGTTCACAGCCATCTGCCTCCCCTGTCCCTCAGAGCTGCCCAGGCTGAAGAGGGGACAAGATATCCCTCACTATCGTGCAAACTAAAGCACTAGGAGACACTTGTTCTGTTAAACATTTGCAGGTTTTTTGCTAATTCAGCCACTCCTTGACATTCCAGACTTAAGAGATTAACAGGCAAACCAGAAATAAATTTCCCCATTGTAGTATATATGGCAGGTATGATTGTGTGGCTTTTTCCTACTTTCCAAGGTCAGGTAATGGGATAAGAACAGGAAGAGAGAAGTGACATGCATCATAGGTAAACCACAGTCATCAATCTCTTCCTGTGGCAGCATGAAAAAAAGTGCAATCATTCTTAATTTGCTCTGGGATTCCCCACAATCAACTAGAACTTCAAATTTCCCTTTCTGAAGGTATGTGGTTAGTACTAGAAACTTTTAATCAGCAGCGTGGAAGAGGAATTACGTGACAGACTATTGCACGTAAGAATTCCTCTCTTAGACAGAAAAGATAAAGGAAAGTAAGGAAGTGAAAATGTACACAAAGTCCTTAACTTGCAAAACAGTTTTATTTCACACTTATACAAAGTTAAGACATTTTAAAACACTTACAATACTACAGATTACATCAACTGCCACCAACTATGCTAATAGGGAACTTCTCAGGTCTCTGGAATTTTACAGGCTTTGAAAGTTTTAAAACAGATCGTCTAATCAGGACCCAAGGATAAACCCTCCTGCAGAGCCACATAATTGGATGTCAGGTTGTGTCCCCTCTGTCCCCATAACACGGAAGGCAATGTGGCTCTCCAGTAAGTCCCAGATTGACAGTACGTGCAAGAAATACTCAAGAAAAGAAAGGTGCTCCTAAAAAAACCAAACCCAAACCTGTGATGTGTGAAATGAATTTGGATTGCATGGATCTAAATACATTCAGTGTTCCACAGATATCCACGGTGAGCTGTTTTTTCACTTCAGCTGTGAGCCTTCCTTACAACTTAACTGTTAACAGCCAAGGACAAAATGTACTCTAGTGCACCACAGAACTGAACTTTTTAGGTACCTAAAATTCTGAAGTAATGGCAGCTCTAATGTCTGGGGAGTAAGAACAATGGCACAACATGTTGCCTGGTTATACAATAAACTTTGGTGACCCAAGCACGCTACATTCAAGTTTCATTCAGGTTTTGGGTGATCAGAAAAACAGAAGAACATCTATGGATGGCACACAGCTCCAAATGAAGAACCAAGGCTGGTTAGCTACATTTGCTTCCCATTAAGTCCAAAACTAACTTGCTATGAGAAAACAGTATTTCATACAGAAATACAGACAGATTTGCAATTCATTTTAGAGTCTTTCACGGAGATAAACAAAAGGAGACAAATACCAAAAGATAACCTAAAAGCCTCAAAAGGAATAAAAAAAAATACTGTGCTTGTCCCTTTAATCTGTAGCCTTAGGAAAGTCCAAGTGGCCTTTCCCAGCAGCAGTGGGAATCTTTGCATCTTAACTGACAAGTCTTTTAGTGAAATAGTAAAACACAGCGTTTTTTGTCCAAAATGGCAACTGGGGAAGTTGTTATGGGGGAGAGAAAGGGACCCTGCCTTGCAGGTTCAGTCCATCCTTCCTTTTCACTTCTGCAGTATCACATTTTAACAATACTGAATACTGCAGCCCCCTCTTCCCCAATTAACTTTGTTGAAAAAAGAATGAACCAAAAAAAAAAAAATCTGTCCTTCCTGACTTTATGTGACAGAAAATATGCAGGAGACACAAGCCCAGTTTTTTAAGTCTTTTCCAGGTTATCTTTTGGGACAGCTGTGTAGCAAGGCAACAAATATTAATATAAGCTAGTTTTCTTCATGATTCTCAAGAATTCTTGCTCACTTACTTCTCCATCTCCATCTCGATCAGCTTCATCGATCATTTCCTACAAAACACATTGGACATTTGATCAAGCACTAGACTCAAAACACAAGATAATCCACTCATTAAAACAACAATCAATCAGAAGCACTTCATGTGAAAACATAACTGTGTTTGACTGGCCCTTCATATTTCTGACCTCTCAAACCTTTTTGTATAGGCATAAATTTCCACCTGGTCCTTAGGAGCTACAGGATAGGTCTGTGCCTGTTAGGCAAGCTCTGGTAAATCAGAATTTACCTGAAGTTCTTCATCTGTTAGATTTTCTCCCAGCTCCTTGGCAACCCTTTTCAAGTTTTTGAATGAAATTTTTCCTGTCCCATCATCATCAAACAATCTGAAGGCTTTCAAGATTTCTTCCTGTGAATCCTTTTCGCTCTAAAACAAGAGTAAAACATGTGTTAATTAGAAAACTCCTGACTTCAAGCTGCTTATGCTGTCACAAGAATTTCTACTAAGAATTCCTACCATTTTTTGTGTCATCATGGCCAAAAAGTCTTCAAAGTCGATGGTGCCACTTCCTTCCTTGTCAATGTCTGCTATCATTTTCTTAATCTCTTCCTTCTTTGGCTCAAAGCCCAAAGCCCTCATTGCAACCTGCGCCAAAAACCAATTGTTAGAAGGCCACCAAAATTATGTTGTAAGCAGCTGAGCTAAAGCTTGTTTCATTTCCTTGTCCAAAAAATGTGGTAACAATTCACTGCAATGAAAACACCTTGCTATCTCTTAGCAGATTCTTTCATCTTTCCAAACAGAAATACTGTAGGCTTGATATTCTGAAGATTATGTTCTTCCTACACGGTCTAGTGGAAATCCATAGTTAATTAACATTAGGCAGAAATTTTCCTGCTGAACACTTTTTTAATGGAAAGTGTCAATTCATCAGAAACATGTGTTTTCTGACCAGTTCTTTGCAATGGGATAACTTGAAAAAGTTCCTTTTTGTTTATTTTAGAGGGCAACACTTTCTATTGTAAAATATCTACTATTTTGAATTTATTTTGAAAAAGAAAACAGCATTAAATGGTTGATGCTAAAACAATTCAGTCTCTTTTAAGAACTGTACTTTAACATGTACCATCTGCATTCAGGAAACACGCTGTCCTTAACCAAGTACTTCCAAGTAAATCCTGAGCTAAGCCACAGGCTTAGGTAACTCGTGCAGAAATTGAGGCAGAGTCTGTGTATGTGAGAAATCAAGGTCAAGGAGATAATTAAAAGGTTCACACTTAGAAAAGGATAAGACACATAAAAACACAGGGAGAGAACTGAGAATAATCCTCCCCCTTGTACTACTGTGTGTATGTAAGTGCACACACACTACGTGAATTGCTACTGAAATAAACTCAGATCCCTCTTTTGTTCTTTTTTAAATTAAAAACCAGGTAATTTTTTGATTACATATATGCAAATATGGTTGTAACCTTCCTGAATGTGTGCAAAATGTGTGTTTAGTTCTGAGGTGAAGAAAATATACGATATTCTGGCATTCATCCCAGAACAACAAAAGTCCATTTCCCAGAAACAACCATCTCAGTCATGAAAACTGAAATGTGTACTGCATGTACCTAAACACTGTTTAGTTCCTCTAATGCTCAGATAATTCCAAGTTATCAGACTTAAATATCCACATATTAGAGAAGCCTGTCTGCTCTGAAGCATTATATGCAGGGTACACCACGTAATACACCCCAAATTCAGCCATGACAGCAAGCCATTACTCTTGTTCATACTCCAAAAGTATTTTAAAGTAGGGCTGGACAAACAGAAAAAGCAGTTACAGTTTTAAGATCAAAGATATTTTCATACAAGGGAAAAAAAAAAAGTTTGAAAACCTTCAGTTCTTTGATGTCGATGCTCCCAGATCCATCGGTGTCAAACAAATCAAAAGCTTCCCGGATCTCCTGCTTTTGCTCTTCTGTAAGTTCAGGCTTCAAGCCACTTTTCTTCCGCTGGGCTGTAGCTAAGCCAGGTTTTCTATAGTTGGATGCCTTCAGAAAGTAAGGGAAACAGCAGATAAGAAATAGCCCATTCCAGGGAGAATTCAAAATACATTAAATTATAAATAACAAAAGTAAAACCGTAGCAGAAGTAAGAGACGTTCCTTGCTGCAAGTGGTAGACACTGGGGTCTCTATGCTCATTTCTTTGGTTATTCTAAAAAGAATACAAGCAAAGACTTTGTTCCTGGGAAATGTGCATTTGAGCTTCATGTTTTCTGTTTTAAAGAGAAGGAGTTTTGAAGATTGAAGGAGTAAAGCCAGAAGAACAGGTGGGCAGACTGAAAATGAACACCCCACTGAGGAGACTTAGGACCCTCTGTACCTCCTGCGGTGGCCTGGATGTGTCAGGAGTAGTTTCACCTGGAAAATGTGAGTCCATCATCCTCACAGCTAAAAAAGGTGGTTCCACAGGGTCTTGACTGTGAATGGCACACAAATTCAGCCACTCCTCCAAGCCAGCCCTGAGATGGGATGTCCCAGAGCACCTGCTCTGAGGGAGCAAAGTGTAAAGGGAGCTGTGCAGCTCCAGGCTCCCTGTCCCCCGAGGAGGAGGGAGCTGTGCTGTGGAGCCAGGTAACAACGTGTTCTGGGAGCAGTAAGATCAACACGAAATCTGTCCCTTAAGGAGCACTAATCTGCTTGTGCTGATCTGGTACATCATTATCCAGGATAATTCTGAGACCTTTCCTGCCTCTAAGTGTGAACTGTACAGTACAGGGTCTGCGGGTCCCTCCCATCTACGGAGCTAGAAAGATGTTTTCCTCAAGTCTAGTTTCGTTTTTAAACCACCAGCAGACAAATTTTAGTCGTTCAGTCTTGCATCTGCACAGACTGGTGGAAGGAAAGGCAGTCCCTCCCATCACCAGCTTCAATTGGTTGGGCTTCATAAAAGTAAATAAACACCAAGCAAGGAATTTGTTACCTAGCTACTGCTAACCACTTTCTTATCTCAGCTGAATTGGTACCATTTTTCCGGCTGGGATCCCTCTCTTAAATTCTCAATGTGTAACACGGAAGACCCCATTTTCTTGTAGTTAACCGTGAAATTTCTTTTTTTTTTTTTTTTTAACACGATTTGTCCCTCCCAGGTTGGATTACAAAGCAGTTCGTCTGGCCTTTCCCTGCTATCGACACGAGCATCAGATTTTTACCCTTTATATGCCGCTCTGGCAAAAACCCACGAGAGATCTTTTTCCTGACTACAGAGCCTTATCGTTCCCTTTATTCCAAGTCTGAGCTGTACAAATCCCTTCCAGGTTCCCGCTCCTGGCCCGGCCGGTGCCGTCCCAACCTGGCACCGCGACAGCACGAAGCGGAGGAGCTCAGCGAGCCGTGGCAAGACGAACCAGGCATGTTCCCCCCGGCTTGCTGAACGCAGGTGCCACATTTTGCGAATCCCGGTGTTTTTTCGGGAGCGTTTTCCA